CAAAATTAACAAATATCTTTTGGTAAATTTTTCAACCATTTGTTCATACTCTTTTTTGTAAATTTTTGAACAGAAAACGATTTTAAAAGTCTTTAAAATAGTTTTTTAAGCAAAATTTCATAAGCTAAAATTAAAAAAAAACTGCATAAAAGTTGTTGTTCAATGATTTTTGCATTTGCATTTTTCATACGCTTTTTAATGCAAAATATTCAAAAAATATTTATTTTTTTATCACGTTTTTGGATTTTTACCCAAAATTATGCAAAAAACTTTGCCGTATTTTTTTTTCCTGAAAAGTTCTATATCTCTATTTCCTACAATTTTGTGTCAAACGTCATTTTGATTGGAAGTGATATTTTCCAGTTATAATTTGAGAAAAATAAAAATCAAATGTGCACTTTTGATCTTTATTACGAGATTTGAAACAGGGTTACTTCCACTCACTTGCTATAAAAAATGTTTTTCGGAATTATGAAATCATGAAATAGTATAATCACAGACAAACAGACATAACTCTCGCAAGTTGTTCATCGAACAAGAGTTTAACGGAAAATTTAAAAGTATCGTTGTTGGTAGTGTCGCCACCTGTGGCGTGCATAGTCAATTCCCTTGTGTTTGACGTTTACACACTACCGCCATCTGTTCAGCGTGCTACCCACCACAGTGCACTCATCAGATGGCGGTTATGTTTTAGCGACGATGTTTTACAGTGAAAAATATTCAATGTGTTATGTCTGTTTGTCTGTGGTATAATGCTAAAAAAAGACTTGTAAGCTACAAGAAGAGGCCATGAAGTATATGTTTGACACATAAAATCTGTCAATATTGCTTGCAGTGCGGTCACAATCAGCGATTTTACGACTCGTGAGTGCTCACTCTGAGTGAACGCTCACGAATCATAAGATCGCTGATTGTGACGCTCTGAAAGTGGAATTGACAGGTTTTATGAGTCAAACACATACTTTACACCCTCTTCTTGGTACTTACAAGTACAACATATCATTATAACATCTAATGATTGCATAATACCGAAAAATATTTTTTATAGGAAGTGAGTTGAAGCAACCCTGATTTGAAATTACCGATTTTGAGGTTAAATGTAAATGATTATCCAAAATAAACATTTATGCAAAGTTTCATACAGATCGAAGAAGGTAGAGTCTGATATTCAATTTGAGTTTTGCTATTTAACTTTTCATCGCAGTGTAGGTGCGCACCATGTGCAGTCTGTGTATTGGTATATGTGTCAGCTTTAGCCTTATATATAGGCTAACCGACGCGCACGATATCGACTTGCTGTCATTTGTGGTTTGTTTACCGCGCACGATGAAGGAGTACCGCCAACAATCAATACGAAACTAACGATTTTAAATTGGCTCACTACTTGACTAGCCTAGGGGAAGGGGGGCTTATGCAGGCGTGGGAAGCTGGCACTGTTGTTTATCGAGAAAAACGTGAAAATCATCGCCGCGTACTATAAGACCGAGGTTCTGGAGAAGGTTGTGGCCCCGGAACTCAAATTTAATAAGAATATTTCATTGAAAATCACTCGAAAGGTTTATCAATATGTGTTGTGTGCAGTTGCAGTCATTCTTATCTAGCAGTTGAAAGTGCAACACGGAAGCCTAATGCACCTAATCCACCTAGCACATTCGAGCCGTTTCTTCGTCAATGCAGTCCAAGTCGTCCTGGCCCTGTATCTGGAGTGCGATAAGAGGTCTTCCAGCTTGCTCATCAAGGCAAGTATCAATGTAATAATGTTTGTTCCCTGCCTGAAGATGTTTCGCCCCGCAGTATGACTACTTGCTCTGTCACTTCGCACTGTACCTGTCACATTGGATTTCATTCTGAACACGCTGAGGATGCTTCAAACACTGGATTCCCGAGACGCGTTGTGGAAAGCACTTTGGAAGCCCTCTCCGACAAGGTCCTGCATACCGCTGCCTGCGCTCTTCATAGTCGTCCCGTTGTTGGATGTAGAGATAGGGGTTTCCAACCTGCTCTAGATGGCAATTACCACGTTAATGTAGAATGATGTCTGCTCGAATTCCAGCGGTATTGTATGCAGCTCTTCATCTTCTACCACGGCTCTATCGGCCGCATCTGTTGCAGTCAACGCTGTAAAGGAAGCTCATCTCCTGCGCATCTACTACCAGAATGTTTGAGAACTACGTTCTTTTTGTCCGCTAGCAAGTGCGATTATGACGGAGACATGGCTCGATGACCGTTTATACAGTGCTCAGCTGTTCGTGAATGCCTTTTCCATTTATCGTACAGACCGTAATGCCACAAACAGTGCAAAAAACCCATGGTGGAGGTGTCCTGATCGCTGTTTCAACTCGTTGGAACAGTTATATCGAACCGATACCTGTTTCCGATACTCTTGAGCAGCTGTCGGTTAGAATCACTATGGCAAGTCAAGTTATTAGTGTGTATTTGCATCCTGGCCACTGCAGCGTGATCTATTCTATATCTATTTACATCCTGACCACTGCAGCGATGTCATTAGTATTAAGGACCATGTGAACTCTATCGGTGCTATTGTTTCCAATTTGGAATTCAATGACTATGCTCTGCAACTCGGAGATTATAACCAGCCTTTGCTCCAGTGGAGTTAGTCGAACGATGGGTCTTTCCAGGTTGAGCCTTAATAGGTTCTATCGGCTGCTAGTTCAACGCTTATCAACGATTTCGCTTAACATGGCGTCAATGGTGTTTCGAATAGGAACGCTCGCTTTCTAAACCTTGTTCTGTCTAACGAAGCTGCAACTCTAGCACTACCGTTTTGGAAACCATGAAACCTCTGATCTTTCTTGATGCAGACCACCCTGCTTTAGACGCCCGGATGAACCTCCCAGCCCTCCGAAAATAATCGTATACTGGATTTCCGTCGAGCCGACAATGTTGCGATTAGTGCTGTTATTTCCAGCATCGACTGGCGATCATTGGAATCAGCTGGATGTGTTGACGATGCCGTTGGATATTTCAATCAAAGGATTTGGGATATCATGGATGAATTGGTACCTATTGTCTAACGGTCACTTGCGTTGACGACTGAAACATTATAGGGCAAAATATCTACCACAATACTGCCAAAACCATTCGTACATTAGGAAGCAGGAGTTCAACAGCACAAGTAACGACTATAGGAAGTACAACAGATTCCTGTATCGATGATATGTCTTCCGTACGCAATCATCTCTTCGCAGAAATCCAAAGCGTTTCTGGAAGTCGGTTTACCATTATCAGTTCATCTCGGTGAGCAAACCGCTAGCTCTGAGAAATGCCGCCTTTTCGCTCAACATTTCATGAGTTCGTTCAATGAATCAAGTCACGATTGCTATAAGTGATTCTCCGTCAATCTAGCTCTTCAAAGGTTGAAACTCTCGTTTGCTGCCGGTCCATATGTCAGATGAATCATTGAAACAATGAACAATAAACCCAATTTTCCAATTTAAGATTTCAAAAATGTCAAATATCCAAACAAAACACTCAATGTAATAATACCATAAGTTTCTAAATTTGTTTTGAATTGAAAGAACATCGAAAGAAATTCAGCAAACAAAAAGAGCTCAGTCATTCATCAGTTATGGATGTTCTTAAAGAACATAATTTGCATATATAAAAAATTCAGAACTTAACTTAATGGTTGAGCGGGAAAATGAAAATTATTTGCTTTAGCAGAACAACTATGATAAATTAAAAAGCTACAAAAATTTTCGCAGCTTCCATGGCCGGGCGGCTCATATCAATTACCCCCGCTTAAATGCGGCCCTCTTTCCAATTCCGTTTTCTAAAGCTTTTATAATTCTCAAAGAGATTTCACTTTATAACCTTAAATTTCAGAGATTTAATATTTCTTAATTTTTACAAAATCGATGGCTCAATATAATACCGTTGGATGAGAGCAAAAAATTCCACTCTCAACTAGGGGAATTTACGTATTCTCGTCAATCTAAGCAGCGTTCGCAGTTCTATTAGAATTTTCTCAGCGTCACGCACACATGTGACGTGTTTGATTGTTAACATTTATCTGCTGCTTGCTTCTCTATCTGACTATTGTCGGCAGCCTTTTTCTTCAGCAACCTTTCCATTTGAGCTGCGTGTTGAACAGCTGTTCTATTATCGGCAATTCGAAATCAGCAGCATTTTGTAGTACGTACATGTCTTTTAAAGAAAAAATTGCCATGACCGGTAGGTTCAGTTGTAAAAATGTAATCAGATTGATGCTGAAATACAAGGGAATCGTTTGAATACATTCAGCGCAGTGTTTCGTGTTACAGTGAAATTAACGTTTAAATTTTGGTTGCTGAAAAAAGTAAATGGGTGCCAAAGCCAGGCATTTACTCTACTTCCCAGAATCTATCCACAATTTGAATAAACATATAATCCCTCTCATCTTAGGCTCACCGCGAGTATTCGGTCCAAAGCTTACTATACGTAAACCTACGAAACTTTTGCAACGTTACAAAAATCGAAAGTATGGCTCCGTAAAGAAACTGCGATTGAGCCGAAATAAAGGGGAGAGCAATTCATTTCACCGAAAAACACTTTGCCTCCACAAAATTCACCAAATGGGTCAATTCAACACCAATAATCCTTCTTTTAAACATGCACAGTTAATTTTTTAGAGATTTATTACTCTTATTTGAGAACCACGATTTGAAAATTTCATGGGATTGATTTTTCCTTCTCTAAATTTTACTCGATCTTGGAAATTTTTCGTCTTTGAAGCAATTCTTACAAGATTTACTATTCATGTGAAAAGGTTTTTAGCACCTTGAATTTGAACTAATCTGCTATAATTGTTTCATCTTTTAAAAGCTTTTCATTCTTTGCATGAAATTTACCACACACAGTTTCAATTAATTTAGGAAATTAGCCTTCCTTATGTTCATGTTTAACAGTTCTTCCAAACTTACTACAACCAGTACGTCACACGGCAATATATGTATCAAACGACAGAGGTAGAAAAAAGACTTATTCCGAACCGTACTCACCGCTAGCACGTGATCCAATTCTTTGGTTTCGAGGTGCAATTTTCTTTTACTGCTATCTGAGCGATGATGATCATCGTTTAGTCCTCCTCCTCCGCCTCCGCCACCATCACCATTGCACTGGTGATGATGTCTATCTTCATCCTCTTCGTCGTCGTCTTCCCCTATGTGATCTGCCACGACAGCCTCATCCTCATCCGTTACCGGTTCTTCGGAATCGTGCTCAATTCCTTCATCGTCATTGTCTGTAAATGGAAGAAGAAAAAAAAATGTGATCTCTTGATAAGAATCGAATGGTTTTCAAAGCATGTAGGACCAAATTTTAACAAATCTATCCATCAACTATCGTATCTACACCATAAATTTTCAACCACTACGTCTTGTGCAATATATGTAAATTAACAACCTCGCTCCGAATTCTACTTGCAGTCTAAAGCTCGTAAAACAGCAAGGAAAACATATTTCGCCGTAGAACACACCGAAATGCTCATACATCATCAAAGGCCTCCTCTAGCGCATGGAAAACCAAAGCATAGAGGTATGTGCAATCGAGGCGGGAACCTGCTCATTTCCATCATATTTTTCCGTCATGAACAACGCTGCATGTGGAAATGGGTAAGGCAAACTTTTGTTGAAACAAAACTGACACGGGGCTACACGCATCAAACGGAAGATAGATTAGCGTTTGTCAGTCTATCCTGAATTATTGTCACGAACCTTAAGAATAACCTGCTACCTACACTGTGGGTAGTGAAACCCATTGAAACAAGTGGTCCATTTATCTAGATAACACATGCTGCCACTCGGCCGGGGAATGTTCGTTTTTATCAGCAATACTAAATGATAAGATTATTTCAGTCACTTTTGCAATTAACTAGAAAGACGCAGAATACATATGTAGATTGAAATAGCAAGAGTTGCGCTTATGTAGCACATGTCACGTGCTCGCCTCATGAATAGTAATAACCAAAACCGGAGCATGCGGTCATGTCACGATTAAATGCTTTGAGTTATGGCTGGTTTGAGGGTGACGGCAAGTAATGAATAAGTTTCACGGAAAGTTGAATTATGGGCATCATGAGAAATATTTTTTGTGTGTAAAGGAATTCTAAGCTTATGAACTTTTCATTAGCTGTTTCATATTTTGGCAAGGTTGTAATTGCTTTTTAGCATAGAATAAACCTTTTGGATCCTCGTATTTTCATCTGACCTACAAATTGATAGGTAAAAAGACCGCAATTTTAATAACTTTTGAAATTGGTTCTGTGACCTTGATCATGAGCTTGGTTGTTTCTCCAGTATTTCCAGATCTACTTGCACAGAGAGCTAATTGGTCGAAAATATAAATACTTTCCATGTAATAGATACTTCTATAAGTTCAAAGACCATAATCGTTAAGTCCAACATTAGAACTGTCCTCCAGGATGAACATTTTGAAATAATCATCGCACTCAAATTTGACAATCTTCTAGGATGGAAATCTTTTACATTGTCCCTATGCACCACGGCGGATGGTCAGTACCTATGGAAGAATGAAATGATTCCATTATTGCTATCCCTTATTTGAAAAAAAGCACCAGGAAGCAACAAAGACTGCTCGGTACAAAGCTTAAGTCTGAGATTACCTCCAGTCACACTATAACGGAGCACCCCTTTGTATATCGCACCAGATCGCATAAAGTACCTAATCACCGGTAATCAATCGACTCCCCCAGTCCCATTTCAAGTTCAAAACCACAGAATACAAAGCACAATAGCTAAGTCACTTCTGCCCACCTCTTTGCCATTGAATATAGATTAGAGATCCGTGATAAGACAGCTCAATAAAATAAACAACGATTTTGCGGGCCCTGGGTGTACATGGGAGACGAACGCACCAATATCAAGTTCAACCAATGAATGCTTTGCTGAAAATAGAAGAAAGTTTCCCTCCTCATAGTCGAGTGTTGGGGGCAGAGGTACTGGTGAGATCTAGACAAAACAACGCCACTACAGCACTATTTATGACAGGTAATAAATGCTCCTTACTCGTGTCCAGTAGATTCCGAAACGAGATACCGGAGGAAGTTGCATGTTCTTTTCATAAAAAGAAATTGTCCCTGGACTAGTCGTCTTCTGGGCCAGTGCAAGTGCCTTGCACCGATGGCGTTTATGTCCATGCACGACCAAAATCGTGACTTCTGGTGAGCAGTCTCACAGCTAGAGTAGAGAGCACAAAAACGGTAGTTGACAGCTTTATGATTGCAATTAGTCAGAGATTTTTGCAGATATGTACATGGGTCGAGTAGCATTAGTAACATCTGGGTCCGAGTGTAACTCCCCCGCCGCCAACGACGACGAGCAGTAGACGAAAAGGCGTGAATGTGTCAGTTAGGGGCCACCGAAGATCGTGACTCCATAATGCGCGATCAATTTTATATGTTAATTCCGAAAAGTGGGCTTTTCTGAACCTCCCAGACTATCATATGTTATACAGATAGGTACCATTGTTTGCGGATAGAGTTTTAGACGATATAAATTGATTCCTTGATACCTGATTTTTGGCAAAAAAAAAACAGATACTATTTGTGGTCACTAGGAATAGGGAAAAAGGAGTACCGGCTAAAACTCCGTCCGCAAACAACGATACCTTTCTGTAAAATGCAAAACTCTAAAGCACCATGTTGAGCCACATTCTGCTGCTTCCCCGCAGGTGAATAAGAGCAATTTATGGAAATTGTTGAACCAAATAAGAACCACCACCACCGCAGCTAATGGTGACCTTCAACTCTATCATGATCTATCTCAACTCAGCCAACGCGAACTAACGGTCGTCCCATTAACTTTCAGTTAGGTTGGTGTAGTTCAATCAAATAACATGAAAACTAAATTAAATCAACTTACAGTATGCAGCAGCAGGCAGCCTGTGACGGGCTTCTGTTCTCCGAGGCTCCACAAAACCGTGAAATGTGTTTTAATGCAGCCGGGAACGAATCTGACATGCTTGGCGGTTCCATAAATCTCCACATCATTTGTGCCACTAGCCGTGCACTAGCAACAGCAGCTGAACTGACAGGAATTCACCTTCCCCATAAGTGCTCTTTTCTATCTTTATGAGCCTATTGAGAGCTGAGCGCGATTTGGGTGCAGCCGATTGCTATTATGTATTGGAGGTAGTGTATCTAAGTGTGTGTCGGAGTGCGCACGGTGTTCGCGCAAGTAAGTGCTTATTTTACACTTGATATTTCACTGCCTATTGGTCGGATCGTTTTAGTTAGTCATAAAGGATTAGCAATCAAAAGTGCACGTCAAGCGAGGACAGATAGCAAGTAAGAGTGGTAAGTAGATGAAAAAGTCATGATGTGGGAGCCACTTTCGGTTCTATGGCCATATCCATGGTGGCACTTAGTTTTATCGGTTTGACGGTAACGACTTATATATTTGCAACTTATTATGCGGTAAACCAGTTCATAGTAAAAAGGCTTTATTTAGAATAGCCCAAATTTACAGGAATTTCAAGATATGAGAAAATATTCGAGGGATACTTCAAGGGAAGAACTTCAAGTCACAAGACAAAATTTTGACTACAGTTGTCACCCATTAGAGGAGCATTTGAAAAAGTTATATTGAATACCTTGCTTTGTACTCTGAAATGGGCGGTGAGATTTTTAGTTGAATACAAGTGCGAAGCCAGGTTTTATAATAGAGAGGCATATTCTTTGTGAAGGGATCTAATATATCACACATTGAATAACGTAAATGGTACTGATTAGGGACTGTTCACGTAGACCTATCTCGAGATGGTTTAGACATCCCTTCCTCCCGCGTAGACAATCTCCCATACAAATTTTAAGAAATTTTTACAACTTTGCCGAAGACATCTACGTATTATATTGACAATTGGCAAAAATGTATTGTTCTCATCACTTCTAGGGGGAATAATCAAAATACAGAATACGTCGAAAGACCCAACATTCTAAGCAACTGTCCCAAAGACACTACGTACCTAAAATCAAGTCACCAAACCTCTAACAATTACTTTTTTGCGTGTATAGTACATGCACAGTGGGTCAGTAATTAAATCTAAGCTCTCTGGAATTGACATCTTAAGTGCAGTTTCTTGGATTAATTAGGACTATAATTTGATGGATAAAAATAAAAAAAAAAGTTTTGGCCGTAATGATGGCACAGCGATACAGTTTTTTTTTTTAATTTCGCAAGATAAAAGTTTTGTAGATCAAATAATGACAATCATTGGGATAGGTACACAATCGCGTGTATACAGTATTCACAATCGATAAAGAAAACTCGTTGTAAATATGTTCAAAGGAAGATTGATCAGCATCAAAACAACAGCAAAGAGTTATGGAAAATTTTGAAATCTTTATTAAAACCTAGTAATTGCAAACCGCGGTCCATAACTTTTAATAGCACATTAGAACAGTCAGAACAAGTAATTGCAGCTAAGTTTAATGATTATTTTGTAGACAGTGTTTCATTGATTAATCAATCCATTGAATTGGTCGATGAACATGACAAAATAAAATAGCCAGTTAATAGTAGTTGTAGATTTGAAGTTTTCCACCCAATTGCATTAGATGAACTTAGAGTTATTTGTTTTTCATTAGGAAAATCGGCTGGAGTAGATAATGTTAATGCTAGAGTTATTCAAGATTGCTTTCATGTCATTGGCCACATCTGACTGGACCTTATTAATGAATCATTACAAACTGGACATGTGCCATAAATTTGGAAGGAATCCTTAGTGGACCCTATTCAAAAAGTTGCGTCCCATCAACATGTTGCACACATTAGAGAAAATGTTAGAACTTGTTGTTAAAGGCCAGCTGTTGAAGTATTTAAATAGTAACAGAACAATCGGGATATCAGGAAGGTCATTCTTGTGAAACCGCGTTGAATTTGGTATTAGCGAAGTGAAAAAATAACTTGGAGTGTAAAGATACGATTGTTGCTGTTTTTTGGATCTTAAACGCGCTTTTGAGACAATTTCTAGGCCCTTATTGTTAAGATCAATCAAGCGCTTTGGAATTACGAGTACTGCATATAAATGGTTTGAAAGCTAGTTGTCTGACAGAACTCAACGGACTGTTTTTAATGATTTTGTTTCCAGTCCCGTGGGGAATAACCTTGGAGTGCCCCAGGGAAGTGTATTAGGGCACCTGTTATTTATTTTGTACATTAATGACTTGCGACGTGTTTTACGATTTTGCGACATTATTTTTTTGCAGATGATACTGTGTTATTC